TTGGTCGACTCTTCCAGCCGTGCTGAATGAATGCATCGAGCGACGACGAGCCCGACGTTTCTGTCGATGCCTGGATCCAGCTGTCGAAGACCTGCTCGCGTGCCGCTGAGCACCCGTCGCCTTCGTCGTCATCGTCATCGTCATTGACCTCCTTTTTTTCGTCGTCACTCTCATCGTCGTTGCCGAAGTCTCTCATTTCCTCTGACTGATCCTCGTCGTCGTTGGCCTCGGCCATAATCCAAGGCTATGGCCCATGAAAATCGCGCCCAGCCGCTGCGTAGAGGTTCGTCGTCGATCGAGCTGCGTCCCCCTCCAGCTCGAGGGTTTCCTGCACAAGGCCACCAGCTTTGAGTTTAACTTCAGGACGGATCGGTGGAAGACGTCGAACGTGCTGCTCGAGTTTGTCAATCGCCTGAAGCTGAATGACCTGTGCAACGGCTGCGGTGAAAGTATCTGATACTTCGTTACTGCAAAATGTTCGAGCGCCGATTGTGGGCAGAGAAATGACGCCTAAAAATGACTGATGAATATTAAAATATTGTTGAATCATGGACCAGGATGAAGACGGTTATTCTGTTGTCCTAGAATACAGTGCAATGCAATATACGAATAATCAATTAAAATAAGTCGATGAATAAAATGCACCGTCACCTTTGGAATTAGACATCTTGTTTTATCAAGAAGAGCAATAGCCTAGCAACGACAGTGGTGAAAACTCGCTTTCATATATGAGTCTGTTTCAGATGCTGTTTGTATATTTGGGTGAGCGGGATAACAGCAACAGGCAATGTCGTTAGCGTTGAGGATTTTTCGCCGATGCCTGACCGTTGACAGGAGAAGTCCCAAGTCTGAAACTGCTTTCATCATTCATCTTGCTCTGCTACGTATTCCATCTAATGTCATTTGCAGCAGTTTTTGCCTCTATTAAATGATATATTTCTGCATGATGAGCCGGTTGGATATGCCGCATGAAACTTTCTCCGGCAGCGTGAGAAGGTAGGGCCTGACAATCAATCCTATCATGAGAGAGCAAGAGCTGACCAATCGTCTCCCTGCCCTTTCGGATCTCGATGGGTTAGTTGACGGACGTGGAGGACGATAGCTATAGCTCACAAGGCTGACACCGTGGAACCTTGAAATAGTCACTCATGGAGGTATACCGGGTCCATAAGTGTAGGCCACTGTCTCGGCTCCGGAAAAATTTGGATTGAATTTTTTATGACCTGGTAATGGCCATGATCTAGTGATGGTCAGGACACGACCGGTAAACTGTGAAATGAAATCATCATGAATTTAGTGGCTAGTCACAACCCCAGAACTCTGTCAAACAGGCACCCTCATTGACGTCTATG